AAGGGAAAGGGAAAGGGAAAGGGAAAGGGAAAGGGAAAGGGAAAGGGAAAGGGAGGGGAAGGGGAGGGAAAGGAAGGGAAAGGAAAGACGTTTAGAATAGCAGACAAGTGAATTATTAAGATATATTGTATTGAATTCTAGACAAGATGAAAGTTTGAATGTGTTCCTTTGCACTTCAGTGAAGAAATGAAGCACTTGACTAGAATTACTTTAGACTGAGAAGCATCCACACCCAATATGTACTTTCTCTGAGCTCTCACTTCTATGGTGAGTTTAACATGAAAATGCCTTACTGGTTCTGAAACAAACTTTGTTAGGGTTTTTTGACTGACTCAGATAGTAAAATTCTACCATTTTGGAGTGTAGGGATTGGATTTTATCTCCAAATAAAATTAGTTATAAAACGTAGCTATTCATGTTTGTGACGTTTCTCAACAGTTCTTTCTTCCCTCTCCCTTTCCATTCAGCCCTTGTTACCTTCTTTTTATGAGTTGTGTATGTTCTTAGGTGTCACCTTGTAATAGTATGCATAATGGTTTGGGTTACTGCATATTGTAGCCTTGACCTAGTAGAGGTTCTCCCTGCCTTACTCCAAGGGATTTTTGCATTTACCACTTGACAGTGTCATGATAAACTATTTCTGTGGATCGCCTTTGGCCATCCTTCACTGCCTTGTCCCAGGAGACACAGAAATCCGTAAATCTTACAGATCTTTTTTTTTTTTTTCTTATTTTTCATTTTAGAGACTGAGGAGGATGTTCCAAGGTTTTCTATTTGGCCCTATTTGTCAAGTTGATTTCCAGTAAAACTAGGATATTTCTGCTCAAAACCTGTTGAAAAACTTTTTATTTTTTCCCTTCTATTCTAAACACCTAAAAGAGTCATGTCAAGTTTTGTTCAAATCAAAAAAGGTCTACCTGGATGACAGCCAATAGATAGGTTAGAAATAGTTAAATAGGTAAGACGGGAAGACTGGACTGACACATTTTATTATATTTTAAACAATAAAAATTATACTTGCTTGACCATGTCTTTTGACCAAAGTAAACTATAAAAAATTACATCAGGTATTATGGCATCTTATTTTATTTATAAAGTCTATAGGAAAGATAAAATTATATATATACATTGCTGTTTCTCAACTTAGTTTTCATGTTGACAACAGTTACACAACAAGATTAGTCCAAGCAGCAGTTAATTGAATTTAATAATTGAATTGAAGTGGTTAAATCATAACGGACCTCAGAGTCCAGCAGTCATTAAACATTCTTATACATTGTTTCTTTGGGTTGGTTTTTGGTTTGTTGTTGTGATGTGGTTTTTTTTTGTGTATGTAAAATGTAAGGGGAAAATAGAATGTTGAGAAAAGCTGAAATCAACAAATGTATGAAAAAAAGGTTAATTTACAATTGACCTAACTGCTTACCATGGTGAAAGCGGAAGGCATAAGTAAAATCTTCTAAATGGCATACAAAGAGCTGACATAAGTTTTTTCTTTCACATTTTCTAAGTAAAATCATAAAGGTCCTTTTCGTTGTCATAGCCAGCTTTGAAAATAAAGCAATATTTTCCATCTCTGGTTGTATCACTGAACTGTTATGTTTCTGGAAAAAAATACATACACATCTATCAGACATACTATTGCTGCACTATGTAGGGCTGAAACACTTCAGTGAAAGTCACACAGCATTCAATGAGTTGCCCCTATGCATTCATTGTGCTGCTTTTATTCTAAGTGGATAAGGCTCAAAGGCAGACTATCAATCTACTCTAGAGAAAGCATCACTTTCTGATCACAAGGCCATCTAGCCTATCTCCCAAGAGACTTCAAAAGCTCACTTATTCTAATTTTCTACTGATTAAAAAACGGCATTCATTTGTACTTTCCTATCCACAGGTTTGGCAATCTCAAATAATTCTTTCACTTTTGTCTCTGTTGAGTCCATTTCTGTAACTTTTTGTATTTTCAAGGGGATGGTTACAATTTTGAGAGACTGCCTCAAATGATCTAAGAGGAGCAAGTTTTTTTTAAGCTCAATAAACATGAATGAACATTAGAATTATGACAATACATAAAATTTGGACAGGAGAAAATTATTTTTTAACAGCCTGGTCAAAGTCTCTCAGTATTAT